AGTAATCAAACAAAAAAACCAACCCCCAAATTAGAGAAAATATTTGCATTATATAAATAATATAAAAGACTAATATCTAAGACTTTTTTTTGGTTTTTGGGTCACACCAGGCGATGCTCAGGGGTTACTCCTGGCTCTGCACTTAGGAATTACTCTTGGCGGTGCTTGGGGGACCATATGGGATGCTGGGAATCGAACCTGGGTCGGCCGCATGCGACCACTTGCAATGTAAACGCCGTACCCGCTGTGCTATCACTCCAGCCCCTAATATCTAAGATATTTAAAGCTTTCACCCAGTTCTACAACAACAAAGAATCCAATAACCCCATAAAACAGGTAGAGGAGATGAACAGACACCTCCCCAAAGAGGACTTACAGTTGGTCAGTACACATATGAAAATAACTCATTTTTACTAATTATTAGGAAAATGCAAATGGGAACAACAGTGAGACATATGTCACACCAGTGAGAAGGGCACATATCAAAAACACTGGAAACAGCCAGTGTTAGCTGGGATGAGGTGATAAAGGATCCTCATTTGTTGTTGATGGTAATGCTATCTGGTTCAACATTTATGGACAACAGTGTGGAGATTTCTCAAAAAAAAAAAAAAAGAACTTCTATATGGTTCAGCAATCCCACTTTTCAATGTCTACCCCAAGTACACAAAAACATTAACTTAAAAAGAAATATGTACATCTATACTCACTGCAGTGCTGAGTATCATAACCAAGAATATGGACACGACTGAATGTTCAATAATAGATAAAGAAGTGAAGAATTTGTGATATATAAACACAGTGGACTACGATACAGTAATGTACTTGGATGGAACTGGAGGGTATCATGTAAAATAAGTCAGAGGGACAAATACTATATGATCAAGCACAGTAGAAAGGACATCTGTACCTATTTGTTCATTGCAGCACTGTTCACAATAGCCAAAATCTGGAAACAACCCAAGTGCCCTAGAACAGATGACTGGTTAAAGAAACTTTGGTACACCTACACAGTGGAACACTATGCAGCTGTTAGGAGAGATGAAGTCATGAAATTTGCTTATAAATGGATAGACATGGACAGTACCATGCTAAGTGAAATGAGTCAGAAAGAGTGGGACAGATATGGAAGGACTGCGCTCATTTGTGGAGTATAAAACAACATAACATGAGGCTGACACCTAAGGATGGTAGATACATGGGACAGGTAGATTGCTCCATAGCTAGAAGCCTGCCTCATAAACAAAGGGGAGAAGGCAGCTGGAATAGAGAAGGGATCACTAAGAAAATCATGGCTTAAGGAACTGGTCGGGATGGGAGATGTGTGCTGAAAGTAGATAAAGGACCAAACATGATGACCTCTCAGTGTCTGTATTGCATACCATAATGCCCAAAAGTAGAGAGAGAGTATGGGGAATCATGTCTGCCATGGAGGCAGGGGGAGGGTGGGAGAGGCAAGGTATACCGGGGATATCGTTGGTGGGGAATGTACACTGGAGGGATGGGTATTTGATCATTGTGTGATTGTAACCCAAACATGAAAGCTTGTAACTATCTCACAGTGATTCAATAAAATTAAAACAAAAACAAAAACAAATACTATATGATCTTATTTATCTGTGATATAGAGAGAAACAAAATAAGGGAATCAACAGTGTCAATTAATGGCAAACCCTTGCCACAAAACTCAGATTACCAAATTGTTTGGGGAGAGGGGAGGAAGGAAGAGGTGAACTAAGGTCAGTGGTGGAGGATCTTGGGCACTTCAGTGATTTAGCAACTCTGTACATCAAAACTATAAACACTATTGTAACCATGTTGCCTAAACTGCAATAAAAGCTAATAAGGTTTTTATTTTTCTTTCCTGTTTTTCTTTTGGCTACATTGGCAGTATTCTGGGAAAGCAACCAGTACTGTGCTTGGGGGTTGATTTCACTGTTGGATGGATACATGCGGTACCAAATTTGTACCTGGGCCTCCCAAACGCCAGGATATTTTGCATGTACTTTACCCATTGAACTAGCTCTCTGTACACACCCCAGCCCCATTTTTTAAAAAAAGAAATGTAAAGAGGAACACTTTACTTGTAGTAAGCTATTTACTAACTTGACATCATTTTGAATTTTATTTGCAGGGTCCTCACCTGTAAGGACAGACCCAGTGTCTCACCTGCAGGGACAGTACAGGACACAGCAGAACTGGTTCAGGACACAGGCTGTGGAGGTCCCAGGTAGTGTGTGTGGGGGGTGGGAGACAAGCACAGCTGGTGTTGGCAGCAGTGACACGGGTGCATGGCCCCTCCTTTCCATGCGAGTCCCCACAGGAGGCTCTGTAACCCTCTGACAGGGCAGTGCTTCTTGTCACCAACCCTTGCCACGTCCACCCAGTAGTCCAGGATCTCCCCGTCCAAGACACATCTGCACAGCACCCTGAATCCTGACAGGTCACCTCCTGCACACCTGCCCCCAATTTCTTCAGTCCTCCACTTGGGCCTTTACTGGCGTGCCCCCTCCTCCTTCCAGCTTGGTGAGGGAACTTTTGCTGCCCACTGTCTGTCCTGTATCCCCAACAAGATCACTGCGGGTGGAAGGGAACTGACAGACTGTCCTAGCAGGGCACCCCATGGGTGGCTGCCTGCTGCCTGCGTGTGCTCATGTGCTCCTGTTCACATGAGTCAGCTGGTGCCAGTCCTGATGGGGAGGGCAAGTCATGCCAGGGCCTGACTGCCAAGAGTCATCCATGGGCAGACACTCACACACCCAAGAGCTGTCCTCTGTCAAAGACTGGGTGGGCCAGAAGACCTTGGGAAAAAAGGAGATGGAAACAGGAGTACGGAGTGGAGGAAGACTGCAGGGTGGAGGAGGGTAGGGTGCAGGATGTTCTAGTGTGAAAGAGGTGGATTCTGAGAGATGGGGTGCAGGAAGCTGCTGAGCATCAACTCTGGTTGGAATCCAGGCTCTCTGCCACTGACTACTCCTTCGGACCTCTCCTTTGGGGTGTGGAGGGCTGGGCAAGAGCACAGTGCGGGACACCATGTGGCCTCTAGAAGATGGCATGCACTCAGGTGTCTGTGACCACATACTCAGTAGTTGCTTTGGGGCTGGAGCCATAATGCAGCTGGTAGGGCATTTGCCTTGCACATGGCTGACCCAGGTTCGTTTCCTGGCACCCGTATGGTTCCTGGAGCATTGCCAGGAGTAATTTCTGAGTGCAGAGTCAGGATAAACTTCACCAGGTGTGCCCCCTCCCTCTCCCCAAAGAAAAAATAGTAGCTGCCTTTGAGCAGACAGAGGCTCCAAGTGACTTGTGGGCAGGGATCCGCAGGAACAAGGCTGGGGAAGGTGCAGGGCCGTGAAGAACTGGGAGGGTGCTGAGGAGGGTAGGGAGGGATGGGGAAGCTGGAGCAGAGTAGGGATGTCTCCTGTCAGCTGCCCCTAGTCCAGCCACCTCCAGTTCAGTTGTCCCAGTCGCTTCTTCCTGGGCTAAGAGGGCAGTCGTCTGCCTCTCCAGGGGGTTGGCCCACAGACCGCTGCCTCCTCCAAGCCCAATCATCTGGCCATGACGCTTGCAGCGAGGAGCGGCTTCTCTTCCTCCTCCTGGCGGTGGAGGAGATCGTTTCCCTGGAAACGGGACTAATCACCGGCAGCGCGCTCACGAGTGGGAGCCACGACTGTCGCACAAGCTGACTCACACACTGTCCGTTTAAAGGCTGCAGAAGCGGTTATGAGAGCAGTTCCTCTGCTACTTTTTCCAGCGAGTCATTCGTGAGGTGAGGAACCGAGGCAGGGCCTTGCGCACGTGCTAAAAATACAGCGGGCGCGCGCCTCCGGACACAACATCGCCTTCCCAGTCCATCCCCCATGAAGTCCAGGGAGCGCTCCGCAGGCCCTTCGCACCGCACCGTCACTGGGCAGATGGCTTCGTGCAGTGCGGGAGACCGAACCCACCCCCGCGCCCGCCCAGGCAGCCCTCCACCGTGCCAGCCTGCGGTGTTCACTGGGCATCCTGGACGCGGTGTCTTTTAGGCGCGGGGGTGTGTCCCCGGCCCCAAGTGCCCCGTGGGTGGCAGCAGAGGGGCGCGCCCTCCAAGCACCCACGTCCGCTGCAGCGGGTTCCCTCGCGGCCACCGCGCAGCACCCAGCGCCAAGTTACTTAATGCAACCCCAGCTGCACGGTGACTCACGCGCTCCGGGCCTGCGGCAGCAGCCACCGAGCCCGTGCACGAGAACCGGGGCGCAGGCCACTCGAGCCTGGGTCCCTTCGAGGTCCTCCTCAGGCCGCACTTAGAGAAGAGGGTGGAGGACCCAAAAGCAGGCCCCACCCCAGCCCGCCCCGCCTTCCTTCCGGGACTCAGGAGAACGATTCCCCCACCCACTTATGCGGCCTCCCCGCAAAGGAATCAACCGATGCGGTTAACTCGTGGGAACTCCTGAGTGAACCCAAAGCCCAGGGCTCTAAAACCCAAAGGAATCATTTCACGTGCTCCCCAGGGCGCCTACCCGAGCCCGGCGCACACACGCCACCCCACCCGCCGCGGAGCCAGACCTCCCTCTCCGCCGGGTCTCGCACCCAACCGCTCCTTCACACGCCCCCCGCCGCAGAATCCCGCCCCGCGCCCCAGCAGCCTTCTTTAGGATCCTCCTCTCTGCACCCTGTCTCCCACACTCTCCCCTACCCCCACCGTAGCTCTCCCCAGACCCCGGCACTCCCGCCCCTCTCTCCGCACCCCCAGAATCTGGCTTCCCGGCCCCCAGGAACCCCGGAGGCGCAAGAGGTGGGCGGGGCGCGAGGGTGGGGCCTGGCGGGTGGGGGGCGAGTCTCGGGGTCCTGGCGGCGTTCCCCAAGCTGCTGGCGGGGGGCGCCAGCGGCGCGAGGGAGGCCGAGGGGCGCGGCCCGAGGGTATCGTTCCCGGCGGAGGCCGCAGAGGGGAGTCCTAGGGGCTGCGGGGGCCGGAGGGCGGCGCCAGGGTGAGGCGCGCGGGGAGGCGGGCGGGGTGGGGGGGAGCGGAGCGTCCTGGGAGGGGCGCCGGCGGCTGAGGAGGGGGCGCGCGCGCCCTGCGGTCCTCCGCGCCGCATCGGTTCCCGGCTCGGGGCCGCGGCGGCGGCGGGAGGCGGAGGATGCGGGCTCCGGCTGCGGCGGCGCGGGTCCGGGAGGACGCGGGAGGATGAGGAGGAGGCCGGCGGTCCGGCCGCGCGGCGCCGGGAGGAGGCGCAGGCGGCGGGGGCGGCGGCGGGCGGCGGCGGGCGCGCGGGGTGCGGGCCGGCTTGGGCGCGGAGGATGAAGTGGAGCGTCCGCGGGGCCTGCGCCGCGCTCTCCTCCTGCCTCCTGCTCGCCTGCGCGCTCAGCGCCGCCGCCGTCGGCCTCAAGTGCTTCTCGCTGGGCTCGGAGCTGCGCGGGGAGCCGTTCCGGCTGGGGGCGGCCGCCGGCGCCTTCTACTCGGGGCTGCTCCTGGCCGCCGGCCTCTCGCTGCTGGGCGCCGCGCTGCTCTGCTGCGGGCCCCGAGACGCGCCCCTCGCGGGCCCGGGCTCGGGCCCGGCTCTCGGAGTCCCCGAGGCCGCGGCAGGGGCGCCAGAGGCCGCGCCGGGCGAGCCGGGCGCCGCCGCCGGGCCCCCGGGGCCGGTGAACAGCCAGAACCTGCTGCTGCTCGGCGTCCTGGTCTTCATGCTGGGGGTTCTCAGCGCCTTCGCGGGCGCCGTGATCGACGGCGACACCGTGTCCCTGGTGGAACGCAAGTACTCCCACTACTGCCTGCCCCCGCGCGCGCCGGCTGCGGCCGCGGGCCCAGCGCCCTCCGGCCCCGGCCCGGCCCCTGGCACAGCGCGCGCGCGCAGCACCCTGGACAGCGCCACGTCGGCCAAGTGCCGCCAGCTGAAGGACTACCAGCGCGGCCTGGTGCTCTCCACCGTCTTCAACTCGCTCGAGTGCCTCCTGGGCCTGCTCAGCCTCCTGCTGGTCAAGAACTACAAGTCGTCGCAGGCGCGGCGCGGCCGGCGCGGCCGCAGGAGGGGAGGACGGGCCCTGGCGCGGCCCCGCGGCGGCCCCGGGCTCCGCGCGCAGCCGCTCGCCGCCTCCAGGGCGCGGCGGGGCCGGCGGGGCCGGCGGGGGCGGCGGCTGCAGCAGCGGCCGAGCGAGGCTTCCATCCTGTGCCCCGAGGAGTCGGACCTGAGCGCCCCGGGGGACTGCGCGGCCTTCGCCGCACACCACGCCGTCTCCTACATCAACGTGGGCGTCCTCCGCGCGCTCGACGAGGCGGGCGTGGAGGTGTGCTGCGGCGGGCACCCGTCGGTGGAGCTGCCGGGCTACGCGCCTTCCGACCCGGACCTCGACGCCTCCTACCCCTACTGCTGCCGGCCGCCGTGCGAGGCGGCGCGCCCCTGGGAGCCGAGTCGGGCCTGCTGAGCCCGGGCCCCCGCACCCCCCGCGCGCGCGCGCGCGTCGGGGGCGCCGAGCAGGCCTCGCCGGCTCCGCGGCCCCGCGCCACGACCGGGCTCGCCTCCAGTGGCGCGGGATCTGTGTCTGGGAGGCGCCGCTTCTCCTCTGTGTCTGTTCGTGTCCGGATTCCATCTTGAAGTTTACAATCAAGGGTCCGGGGTGGCTCGCCCCGCCGCACTTCTCTCTGCAAGTCCGTTCCCCGCGCCCCCCGGGGTCCCGGGTGAGCCTCTCGCGCAGCGGGAGGACAGACAAAGCGACTGGAACTTTAGGAGCGAAAGAAGTGGCCAAGCACCAACAGCGACACTTTGTACACGGATGTGCCTGCTTTTGTCGATACTTTCTTACTGTAAAGCTCTCCATAAACAGTGAAAATGTTTGGTAAATTTATTGCGATTTAAAATTGGTGAGTTCCTTTATTAAATTAATTGCTATGTTACTGGAAATATACGTCACGTTGCAAGGACGGGATGTCTACACACAAACCAGTTTCGGGGGCTGATGGGTGAGTTCGGTCAAATGTTGAATTTGAACAGTTGTGGCCTGGTGGCTGGTTGACTAAATCCAGCCTCTTTCAGAAGCTGACTTTCTGTGTGTGTAGACTAATGCCGGGTCCCATACCCCTCCCCTCTTTCTTTTCTTTTCTTTACTCGCTCCGAGGTTTCTATCAGCTTAATTTTTGTTAATTCATATAAACAATCCAATCCTATTTTGGAAAATCAGTTTTTTTTTTCTGGCGAAGATTATTTTCCTGTTAAATCATTAATTTGGTAATTCTGAATGCTATAGCATCTCATCTAAAATATACTCCTTAAATAGCCTTACATGATGTGGAGGTCATACTTCTAAACTTCTTGGACACACGTGTGCTGGCTGTGGGCCACTGGGAGAGATGATCCAACTCCTGGAGAAGTGAACTGCAGACTCTGAATGTGCTTAGAGCAGAACCACACCTGCTCCCAAGGTGTGACTTGGACTGGGATGACTAGCACGAGAGGTTCCACAAGAGCCACTAGAAAGTCCCTTATCCCTCAGCAAGTGAGGGAGCAGCTCCCAGTAGGTGGAAATGCAGCCAGGGACAGGGCAAGCAACATGGGGATGGGAGCTCTCTGTCCTCAGGTGCTTGCTTAGGGTTCTTCTATAGCCTTGGTGACCAAAGCCCCACCCTTTAGAACCAGGCCAGGCTACAGGAGAAGCTGCCCAAGAGAAGAGGCCGTCTCCAGCCAGAGGGATTCATAACCGGGACACCAAGTCTGCACTGATGCTTAGACTATTACCAAGAAGCTTGGGGAGGCAGTCAAGGAGGCAGTCGGCCAGTGTCACCCCCCCCCCCCCACCCGCCACACTTATTCTGTTGATGCCATTCAAGGACAAAGGATCTCCTGTGGCCAATTCACTAGGCTCTAAGTCACTGGCCTCTCAGAGACTGGTCCATATTAGGCCCCAGGACTCAGTGAGATTGAGTGGTTCCCAAACTTATTTGGCCAACCAGCCCTTTTTCAAGGAAAAAAAAATCAGCAGACTTGCTCATTGAATCCATGTTCCCCCTTGAACATGTATTTCCTCTCTTTCTCTCTTCTCCCATCTTTCTAAGCACCTTTCATTCAATAAACACTACCTTGCTTCACTTAAAAAAACCCACAAAAAACCCCACTCGTAACCTCCCTGAATATCCATTTTCTTTAAGTGAACAGATAGTACCCCCCACCCCACATTTCTCCAGAGGATACAGATGCTCCCCCCAGATCTACAGTTCCAGTGGGGAGTACTGGCACCCACTTAGAGAGACACTGATTTATCCCTGCTAGTCTCTCTCCTCTCCTGCCCCCATACCACTAGGGCACAAGCCACAAAACTAGGCAAAATATGTGATACATGTAGCAAACACAGCTTTTTAGACAATTTCTCTGCCTACCATAGTCAAATCAAAAAAGTGGTTCCATGTGTTCCCCATTCCCCAAGTCCATCTCTTTGCTGGGAGAGTAGAGACCTTCCACACAATGTTGAGACCAGGTGAGACCACCCAGAGCTACACATAGGCTGATGTGTGCTAGGGCTGAGCACAGAACTGCTTCTATAGAGAGGAGACTGTCTGCTGAGAACAAACATGTTCACAGCATTGATACAAGCCCGTCTCGTGAAGGAGCTCACAGGATACCATTTGTGTGTAGCTTGTGTCATACATGCTCTATCAGTACTTCAAAATTCGTTGCCAGAATCAGTGCCCCTCTAAAGTTTCAGACTTTCCTGGATAGAGAACAGAAGGCAGAAGGCAAGCAGAAAGAAGCGCTCACTCTAGTCATAAGGGTGGAGGAGGGGCAGGAAGCAGGGAAGCATCTGGGTCTTGCCCCTGACCCAGTGGACACAAGCTCAGATTCTTTCAACCAAATGCCAGTTTGGTGAGGTTTTTGAGTGCTTGGGATTGGAGGGATAGCTCATTCTTTGTGTGGAGGAGCCCCAGGTTCAATCCCAAAGCACTGGTGGGAGTAAACCCCAAGCACTGAGCCAGAGTGTGGCCCTAAAACCAAGACAAAAAAAGCGAGTGTTCCTAACCCGAGGAATATTGTTAACGTTGCTTTAGAGATTTATTTAATATGTGGGGCACCAAGATTTTACTTTCTAAAGCTTACTAGAGAGAATGAAATGATTTTTTATTCCCGATATCCCTAAATTAATTGTTCCAGAATCACAAAGCTGCCTCTTAACTAGATGACTTCCTGCTGACCTTCCAGCTCCAGTCATACAATCCTGGAGGACAAATAGTTCATAGTAGCACTTTGTGGAAGCTTAAGCTTTACGTTTTAAGCTTAGCCTGAACAGATTGATTCTTCATGCTTCTAGAAAAATAACATCAGCTTTTGTACTTTTTTATTTTTTGGGAGGGGGTGTGGGGCACAGCTGGTGGTCCTCAGGGCTTACTCTGTGTTCAGGGATCACTACTGGTGAGCTTGAGGGGCCATATGGGGTTCTGGGGATTGAACTCAGGTTGGCTGTGTTCAAGGCAAGCACCCTACTTGCTGTACTATAGCTCTGACCTCTAAGCTTTTGCACTTTCAATGAGCCTTATTTTTGCTTTTTTCAGACTCATAATGAACTATGTAAGAGTTTATAATGACTTGTTAGAGTCCAGATCAGGATTTATTATGACAAATTATTATGACAAGACATCAAATTAAACACATTCTAGCCTTATGTTCCTTAATTCTGAGTTGTAAGTTATTATTTTACTACTACTGTTATAATCATTATTATTATTTTGGACTGGGGGGGTCACATCTGGTGGTGTTCAGGGGCTACTCCTGACTCTATTTAGTGGTCACTAATGATGGTGCTTGGGGGACCATATGCCATGCCAGGGAACAAACCAGGGTTGGCTGCATGAAGGCAAGTGATCTAACCTCTATACTATCTCTCTAATCCCTGGTTTTTTTTTTTTTTTTTTTTGCCTTTTGGGTCACACCTGGCGACACACAGGGGTTATTCCTGGCTCTGCACTTAGCAGTTACTCCTGTCAGTGCTCAGGGGACCATATGGGATGCTGGGAATCGAACTCGGGTCAACTGCGTGCAAGGAAAACGTCCTACCCACTGTGCTATCACTCCAGCCCCTCTAAGCCGTTTTTTTTTTTTTTTTGCTTTTTGGGTCACACCCGGCAATGCACAGGGGTCACTCCTGGCTCTGCGCTCAGGAATTACCCCTGGCGGTGCTCAGGGGACCATATGGACCATATGGGATGCTGGGAATCGAACCCGGGTCGGCCACGTGCCAGGCAAACACCCTACCCGCTGTGCTATCGCTCCAGCCCCATCTAATCCCTGTTTTAAAGGGAACAATTAAAAGAACACAGGAGAGTATTGTGGCTAAGTGGTAGAGCACTTGCCTTGCTTGTATGAGGCCCTGGGTTTGATACCAGTGCGCAAATTTTAAAAAAAAGTATAAAACATAATATGGTTACCAACCATGCTATGCTTTCTTAGTATTAATGAGCAGGCATCCTCAGGCTTCAGGTATTGGAGATATAAGCTTTTCCTTTGTCAGAAGGAGTGCTCTGCCCAGCAGCCCAAGTCTGATTAACACAGCTGAATGTGACTGAAATTCAGTTAAACAGACATTTAATTTAAACCAAATCAGTCCTGTGGTGTTTGTGGTGCAAGTCAAACTACTGATGATTAAATGATTTTTTAATTTAATCACACCCAGTGTGCTTGGAAGCCACTAGGGGGCCATGTGGTGCTGGGGATGGAAACCTGGGCTTTGTTGAGAGTGAAAACCCATCTCCTGGCCTGTGAGTAGGGGCTTTGTTCTTGATGGTGTAATATCATGGTGTAGGCAGAACCCTCAATAGTGCTTACACACACACACACACACACACACACACACACACACACACACACACACACATTGTGCACACATGTATACACCTATAGCTGTGTGTATATATATGCACTCATCCAAAGTTCATGCTCAAAGCATACAGTCTCCTGAGTGGTGACTGAAGGAGTATCCAGGAATGTGTCTCGGTTGGGGTGACCTGGCTGTGAGCTGCGGCATTGGAGAATGTGTGGGTGGGCTGTTAGTCCGGAGTAAACCAAGCTTCTTCAGAGGCTGGCATACTCTGTCCCATTCAGGGAAGCAGGACGGTGGTGTGGCCCGCAGCTGGATCACACTCCCCCCCCCCCAACACACACACACACACACACACACACACACACACACACACACTGCTGTGACCCAACTGACACTGACCTCTTCTGTTGTCTGTGTGTATTGGCACCTTTGAGCAAGGTTGTGTGTGACCACTCTTTCTCCAGTGCCCTTGAGGTCATCATTACTGAAAAGCACTGTTTTCTCACTAACATGTGAAAGGAAACTAAATGCCAGAAAATGAATTCTTGGCATAGGGATAGTATAAACTGCTTACTTGGTACCTATTTTCCTGTGGCAGAGGAAGTGACTTAATGTCAGCTGCTATTGAATTTGCTT